TGGCGGCCGGAGTGAGAGGAACGGCGCATGACGGTGGGAGAGAGGAGCAGCGGCTTGCGGGCAAGAGGAGCGGCGCGCGGTGGCCAGCGGGAGAAAGGAGCGGCGTGCAGCGGGCGGTGGGTGAGAGTAGTGCCGTGTGGCGGTTAGCGGGCAAGAGGAGCGATGCGCACCGGCGAGAGAGAGGAGCGTCGACCGACGGGCGAGAGGAGCGCCGCGCGGCCAGCCTACCTGCCTCTCCCTATGTCATCTGGTGAAGAGATCTGATGGAAAAGGTGGGACCCACTAACATGTGGGTCCCACTATTTTTTACTGACATATGGGTCCCGCATATTTTGTTTATTAATTTTGTTGTTTGTTAATTTTGATCCTTTATTTTTTTTCGCTGGTCAAACCACCACGTTAATGCCACGTAGGATAAAAATCTAGTCAAATGAGCCACGTCACGTAGAAGCCACGTCAGCCAAAACCGGTGTCAATACTGCTGAGGGACCTCATTTACATGGTTTTATAAGTTGGTGGATGTGCTGTATCTAACTATTCTGGGCGACGAAAATTGAGACCTGGAGTGAACTCATTCCCAGCCCCGAACACCCCCTAACCTTGTTTTCTATAATAAAGCCCTCCAAAGATGCTGGAGTTACAGCCCCATGCCACCGGATGCGATGTTCACGTGAGGTTCAATTAGAGGTACGGTACTAATATTGGATTAATTGATTGCTGAGAGGAGAATTTTCTCTACATCATAGAGAGAGAGAGAGAGAGTTCCTGTGCGTGCGTAATTAAACAGCAACAATGCTGCGCTGTTGGCCGTCTTCCTTGCCAAGCTTCCTGTGCGTGCGTGCAACGACGGTCTATTTGTTTGGAGGGAATTGGTGATGGGAAATGAGAGTTTATAATATCTGGAAGTTTAAATCTGTAGTTTGGTTGGAAGACTTGAGAATACAAGGGGTTTGGGATGGGGAATTAAGGGGTCCAATTCCCACCAATCTATTATCTGAGGAAGACCTGTTAATTCGTGAGATTTGGAGGGAATTCGATGTGAAACTAAAAAGGGATGGGGACTAAAAATGTAACTCACGTGACTAATCCTACAATCAACTCCCTCCTTCAAACTCCCATTCCTCTTCCTTTCTCTTGCCAAACAGTTCGCGAACGGCTGGAGGATATAGTTAGTCTAAAAAGACATTATAAGAAATTAATTAAGTGTAACTTGGGAGCATTTCAATGATGGGCTTGTACGCTTGTGTGTAATTCACTGGAAGGAGTCGAGGTGCAGTTGGAGAGGAGCTCCGCCACCGCCGCCGCCGCTGTAGCGCGTCGTCGTGCGCCGCCACCGCCGCCGCCGCTGTAGCGCGTCGTCGTGCGCCGGCGGCGAGATGGAGAGCGCGGACGGCCGGTAGACGGCGGCGGCGGCGGAGGGCGCCATTTCCACAGGCTTTCTTGAAAGGTTCTTGCCGTCCTAGCCGATGGAACCGAGGCGGAGGTAGAGGAGCGGGCCGTGGCGCGCGGCGAGGCGGTGGAGTGCCTGGTGCGGCAGCGGCGTGAGCAGGTGGAGGTGGCCCAGGATGGGCAGCCCGAAGGGGCTCGGCGGGAGGCGCTGGCCGCTGGTCCGGCCGGCCGTCGGACCTCCTCGCCCCGACGACGTCCTCCCCACCCTGGCCGACCGCTGCCGCCGAGCCGCTGGAGCCACGTCCTCCTTCCCTACCTTTCCCTCTCCTCTCTGTGTTGGTGCATTGGCGCAGGGAAGGAGGTAGAAGAGACACCTGACAAGTGGGCCCCATCTGAGGAAGGAAGAGAAGAGGGAAAGAGAGATGACGTGGCATCCTGACATGTGGGTCCCACGCTGACTCAGTCGCCACGTAGGCCAAAACCAGGGTCAAAACCACCGAAGGATCTATTGTGACCGGTTTTGATTAGTTAAAGGACGTCGGATATCTGGTTTTGTGGTTGGGGGATGATTTTATAACTCGATTACAAGTTGAGGGACCTTCGGTGTACTTTTTCCCCAGGTTAAAGCCAACCTTTTTGCCCTCCGAAGCTGGAGTTGCAGGCCCACGCTACCGGGCTCGGCGACGCGATCGGTTTTATGCGTGTTTCACGTCGATCGCTTAGCGGTATGGCACTAGTCAAAATAAATCTTAAAATTTTTTAGTATTAGCATTTTAACAGGATTTTTTATATATTTATCAAATTTGACAACAAACTAAAAACTAAACGTAGATATTTTTTTTGACAACTTTTTTTGAAAAATAGTATAGTTGAAAGTGGCAAACAGATCCTAACATTGGTCTCAGGAACAGAACGAGGGATTTCGCCGAAGGAGATAAATAAAAAAACAAAACACGGTAGAAGTAGGGAACTATGAAATGAACCTCTTTCACTTCTTCTAGCCTTCTAGGAGTAAAGTCTTTTCGTTGCTCACATCAGCGCAGTGCCGGTTCATTGTTCCTCTTCTCCTTTTGCAAGATAAAAAAAAGGGAGATTTGGAGGAGAGATAATCCCTCCAATAATTTTTAAGAATAAATTATGATCGTGTTAAGAATTGAACATGAGACATTGGGGTTGAAACCACACACCTTTTTACCTCTGCACTATCAAATGCATCTCTCTCCTTTTGCAAGATCAATACTCTCGCGTGCCAATTTGGGTGGCGAATAGAGTATCAAGTACTGCCCGTGATGGTCGGGCCTTGGCTCCACCGCTAGAACTGGCCTTATCTCCGCACGAAAGACCCCGGAGCCTTCAACTCGTCGGAAAAAATCTAGTCAAGTCGTAAAAAAACTAGTCAAGTCGCTAATCATCCTAGTGTCTTGAGAGATTTGGTACGAGCGTAATGTGAGAATCTTCCGGCATGTCATTTCTATGCCAGCGATGATCGTAGCTGAAATCAAGAAAGAAGCCAGGACATGAGTTACAACGAGAGTGTCCAAGCTATAAGAGATCACCGTTCTAGGAGAAGTCCCTTGACAATTTTGTGGCCTCCTAGGGCTGGCCCCTTAAACCTATCATGTACAATTTTTTTAAAACTTGCGCTCTATTAATACACAAGTGGCAAAGCTTTTGCCCTTTCTTAAAAAGAAAAAAACTCCCACGTGCCAAGTCATCAAGCAAGGTATGTCCGATGTATTGAATCAAAGTCGGTTAAGAAATGCAGCAAACAAAACCAGCATGACACTAAAACTCCATATAGTACTCACTCCTGCTTGTAATGTTTGACGTTGTTAACTTTATGCATATTTTACTATTTTCCTTATTAGAAAACATGTAGTTATTATTTATTTTGTTGTGATTTATTTTAATATTAAAGCTATTTTAAACATGACTTATATATATATATTATACATTTTGTAATACGACAAATAGTCAAATGTATGTTCAAAGTTAACGACATCACACAAAAATAAAAATCATGTTGTTACTGTCGGACATCATGACTATTATACCGTTCAAATTACACTACTTTATGACACTACTTTACGATGGCTGCAACAGAACATGAACAATATAATAGTAATGGTGGAACATGAACGATATAATAATAATGGTGTCCGATAACAGTCTATCTAGAGTTTGAGCCTATATTGAGGCATTGGCCGTGTTTAGTTGTTTGGCCAAAAGACGTATACACATATTTGAAGTATTAAACGTAGACTAATAATAAAATAAATTATAAATTTTACATGTAAAATGCAAGACGAATCTATTAAGCTTAATTAATTCATCATTAGCAAATATTTACTGTAGCACCACATTGTCAAATCATGGTATAATTAGGTTCAAAAGATTCATCACACATTTTACATGCAAACTGCGCAATTAGTTTTTTTCGTCCACATTTAATGCTCCATGTATGTGTCCAAATATTTGATGTGACAGAATTTTTGGAAGTTCGAAGGGAACTAAACACGGCCATTGTTTAGTTGGGGAAAAATTTTAGATTTGGTTGTCATCGGATATACGGACATACATTTGAAGCATTAAATGTAGTCTAATAACAAAAATAAATTACAGATTTCGCTAGAAAACTGCGAGACGAATTTATTAAGCCTAATTAATCCGTTATTAGCCATGTTTACTGTAGCACCACATTGTCAAGTCATGACGCAATTAGGCTTAAAAGATTTATCTTACAATTTACACGTAAACTGTGTAATGTTTTTTTTCCATATTTAATGCTTAAAAGATTAATTTAATGTTTTTTTCCATATTTAATTCTTACAATATTTAATGTTTTTTTTCATATTTATCTTACAATTAGGCTTAAAAGATTTATCTTACAATTTACACGTAAACTGTGTAATGTTTTTTTCCATATTTAATGCTTCATGTATGTATCCAAACATTCGATGTGATGTGTGAAAAGTTTTTATTTTTTGAACTAAACAACGCCTGAACTAGTACTCTCAAGCATTTGTTGTTCGTCTGGGTTTGAATCCTCTCAAGCAGGTTTTCTTCAGTATCATTAATATTTCTCGTTTTCTTCTTTCAACAAAAAGTAGAGTATACCTCATCTCTGACCGAGAGAAAAGAATCTCGATGAGAAATTCATGAAAACCAACCCACACCACTCCACGGTAAAACGTACTCCCTCCGTCCCAAAATACTTAATTTCTAATTGTCCTGTCTAAAGTTTAACTGTCCGTCTTATTAAAAAAATTATAAAAAAACTAAAAAGATAAATCATGCATACCGTATTATTCATGATTTATCATCTAACAATAATGAAAATACTAATCATAAAAAAAAATCATATAAAAAAATTTCATATAACAGCCTTTTGCCCGATGCCAAAAAAAAAAAATGTAAACAAACGTTTCATTGAATCATTGGGTTCCTGTACATTTGCTACTCCACACCCCCGTCCCCGTGACAGAAAATTTTACGCTACCCCACCTGTCAGCGCCCCATGCCCCCACCTGTCAGTGACCCATCTACTCCTTCCTGTGCCACCCACGCCTATATAACCCGCTCGCACCGCACATCACGCGCCCTGCACTGCGCTGCAGCCGCGGCTGCTACTGCTACACGCAACCAACCCCCTCACACACACAGTCACCGCAACGCAAGGAGAAAAAAGCAGCGAAGCGGAGGAAGAGAGAAAGAAAGCGACGCTGCTTTTTCTTCTTTCTTTCTTCCAACCACTCCGGGATCGGGGAGCGAATCAAATATCATTCGCCGAGGCGAGTAAAAACCCCAATCTCTCGCTTTTACTCTCCTCCTCCTCCTCCTCTTCTTCCTCTCCCCACCTCGGCTGCGGCGGCGGAGGCGGAGGCGAAACCCTAGGAGGAGCTAGCCGCATTTGCTCCTCGGGGGTGGTGTTCTGGGCGTCTCTTCGATGTGAGTAGCCTGATCGGGATCGCCAGTTCGTTGCGGGTTTCGGTGTTGCGTGGTTGGGGTAGATGTTTACTTCGTTTGTAGCAGTTTGGTTTGCCGAGATTTTTGGGGGGATCGACGTGTTCGACGACTGGGTGTGTGTGGGTGTGGGTTTTGTTTGGGTTGAAGGGTTTTTGCGTTTTGGTGGGTGGGTGTGGTTAGGGTTTTAGCTGGGTGGAGGTGGGTGATCTGTGCGTTGATCGCGATGGCTGGGGGGCACTGTTTCCTCACGGGGGTTTTTGTTTTGTTTCGGTTCGATCGCTTGGTTGTTACTCCCCGTGATTGTTTATGATCTGGTTGCTTCTGATTGGCTACATGCTGGTCTCGCGTTTTAAATTTTTTTTGGGGGAACTTTTGTGGTTTCCTTTAAATCGGAACAGAAGTTTCAAAATTTCGAGCTGGTTTTGCACGTTTTTTTTTTTAAAAAAAATTTCGGTTAGATCGTTGAGGTTATTACGCCCCGGGATTATTTATGATTTGGTTACTGTTGATTGGCTACATGGTGGGCTCATGTTTGCCCTTTTGTTTCGAGGGGGAAATTTTGTGGTTTTCCATTTAAATCGGAACCAAAGTTTGCAAAATTTCAAGTTGTTTCGGCACGGGATTTTGTTTCGGTTCGATCATTCGGTTGTTACGACCTGTAAATTTTTCTGGATTGGTTGCTTTTGGTTGGCTACGTGGGGAGTGGGGGTGCTCTTCTTTGTCTTTTTTTTTTTTGCATTTAGATCGGAATTTTGTTTTTCAAAATATCAAGTTGTTTGCACGTTAGAGAGGGCATATGTTAACGATGATTGGAGCCACTGTACTTCAATTCTGTGATAGAGATATGAGTTGCATATACGAATGCTTCCCCAGTGTTTTTAATTTTATACCTTTGAATCTACAGGGTGCTGGAGGAGAGAGAGGCCAACGGTCTCACAATGCAGGGGCAGCATCTAAACAGCCAGACTGTGGATCTTGCCCGCAATCTTCGGGAAAACCAGCTAGGAGGAGTGATATTTGGTTGCAAGCACAATACAATCGAGGAATGCTTCGAAAAACAGCTATTTGGTTTGTCAAATCCACCTTTCACCTCTTGTTTTGAACACATCTGTCATTTCTCACATTTGTATAATTTGGTGATTGACAGCGTCATGTTTGTTTTGTATATGCATTACTATCCTTTACAATCATGGTGTAATTGTGGGGTTTGTGAAGTATAGACTAGCTAAGCATTGAAACTTTGTTTGATTTCACATCTTAATCAGTTTCTGCATCTTGCTTGTTTTACAGGTCTGCCTTCAGTCCACTATTCATATGTGAGAAATGTGAAACCTGGACTACCTTTATTCCTATTCAATTATAGTGACAGAAAGCTTCATGGCATTTTCGAGGCTGCAAGTCCTGGGCAGATGTGTATTGATCCATATGCGTGGAGTCATGATGGTTCTTTGAGGACTTCTTTTCCTGCACAGGTATCACAAAATTATGAATGTCTAAATAACTGGCACAGTTTATTTGATCTGTAGTTAAGTTCCAGTTCATTTCTACTAATGAAAAATGGCCATTTGTGTTTTAAGGTTCGTATCTGCACGAAGACTCGTTATCCACCATTGATGGAGAGCCAATTCAGAACAGTGCTTGGTGACAACTATTATAACCACCACCACTTCTATTTTGAGCTAGACCATGCCCAAACAAAAGCTTTGATTGCTGTGTTCAAATCACTTGCTCCTGCCAATTTCACGCAAGTTCCAGCGGTTTCGAGCAAAAGGACTATTGCACCTTTACCATCAACTAAAAGGCAGGCACCTGTTATCCCTGACCAAAAGAAAGGGTCAGCCAGTCCAAAGGACATCAATCCGTTTAGTGTTCTGTCACAATCAGGTGGTGCTGTTAAAGATAACTGGGCTGATTCTGATGTGGAGAATGGCAGTATTAGCAGAAGTTCAGATGAGAAGGAATCTAGGGAGCTAGTTTCTGATTGGGAGGATTTGGATGACAATGTTCTTCACGGCCAACTTGGTCTTTGTTCAAATCCAGATGAGATCAGTCAAAACTCCTCATACAACAGTGTTGCTAAGGGAGCGGAGTTTGTGGAATGCAGTCATTTGGTTGTCAATCCTGTGAATGGAGGAATCCAAAGTTCTGATGGAGACATGCTTGTGATCTCAGATGATGTGCATTCAGGTGCTGTGGGTGTTGATGGGATAGAGAGTGGGGGTCAGAATGAACCAGATGATGTCTCGATACAGCCTGAAAGACTGTCCATCCTGCAAAAACTTAAGGAGTTGTTTGTTCTACGACAACAGGCAGTGCTATCTGATCAAAATCTTGCATATTCTAATTCAGATGAATATGCACCTGAAGAAACACAGGCCAATGTGAGCCTTTCTTGTCCAGAGCAATGTGCACCTGAAGAACCACAGGCCAATACAACCCCTTCTTGTCCAGAGCTACATGTACTTGAAGAAACACAGGCCAATGTGAGCCTTCTTTGTCCAGAGCAATATGTACCTGAAGAACCACAGGCCAATGCAAGCCTTTCTTGTCCAGAGCAACATGTACCTGAAGAACCACAGGCCAATGCAAGCCTTTCTTGTCCAGAGCAACATGTGCTTGAAGAAACACAGCCCAATGTGAGCCTTCCTTGTCCAGGGCAATATGTACCTGAAGAACCACAGGCCAATGCAAGCCTTTCTTGTCCAGAGCAACATGTACCTGAAGAAATACAAGCCAATGCAAGCCTTCCTTGTCCAGATCAGCATGTACCTGAAGAACCACAGGATGATGCAAGTTTTTCTTGTCCAGAGCAACATGTACCTGAAGAAACACAGACCAATGCAAGCCTTCCTTGTCCAGATCAGCATGTACCTGAAGAAACACAGGATGATGCAAGCTTTTCTTGTCCAGAGCAACATGTACCTGAAGAAACACAGGCCAATGCAAGCCTTCCTTGTCCTGGCCAGCATGTACCTGACAATGCAAGCCTTCCTTGTCCAGAGCAACATGTGCCTGAAGAAACACAGATCAATGCAGGTCTTTCTTGTCCAGATCAGCATCTTCCCGAAGAAACAAAGTTCAATGTCAGTCTTGCCTATCCAGATCAGCATGTACCAGAGGAAACACAGGTCACTGCAGGCATTTCTTGCCCAGATCAGCATGTTCCTGAAGAAACACAGGTCAATGCAAGCCTTCCCTCTCCAAATCAGCATGTACCAGAAGAAACAAAGGCCACCGCAGCCATTTCTTGTCCAGATCAACATGTAACACAGGCCAATGCAAGCCTTTCTCAACACGAGTTCGGTGCTAAGGTGGAAGATAATACATCTCTTGAGCAAAATCAAGGAAATGCTGAGGTATGTGTCCCATTCCTTTCTGTTCGCCTGTTCCCTAGTCTTCATTATCTGATTACACTTGATAACCCAGTGACTCACATGATGCTTGTTGTTGTGCAGTATTCTCACATCATTTTTTTTTTCACTTGTCTACAGCTGATAAAAATCGTCCTTGACTTAATCAAGAAGACTGATTCATTGGATATGAGACAGGTCTGCCATTTGTTCCTGAGCACTTGTGATGTAAAAGTTGTTCGGAGGTTTATTTCATTGTTGGATAGAAACATACAAATGAGTGGTGCTGTGGGGCTTGACAGTATGTTCTCAATAGTTACAAGGAATCACAGATGTCCAATGTGGTTTCTTTTTACCAAATTTTCTAATTGTGGCTACTATTGATATTGGTTCAAGTAGCACATAAATTTCTTTGGTGTGAACATGAAGTTTTCTTTTAAGGGCCATTTAGCTTGTCTATACAATATTTTTCTTTCTTGCAGAACACAAACTGACCTGCACACCTGTAGTTGGCCATCTTACCTTTCTTTTTACTGCCAGATGCTGGATGTATTCACGATCAAAACTGTCTAGCTACCATTCTAGATGCAAATGCTGGATACTTAGGTTTTTTACTAATCATTGTTCTGTAATTTTCCAGAACAAGTCCCATGAAGAAATACTTTCTCTGAAGGAAGTAGTTAAAGACTCGGGAACAAAAGTAAAGCAACTGGAATACCGTATAGATGAGTTACAATTCAAACTTGACTCTTCACTGTCTCTTGTCGGAGATGCATGTGATACTCTGGACAAGCCATCGATATTCCTGATAGGTGGTTATAATGGTGTGTCCTGGTTGTCATCTCTTGATGCTTTTTCACCTGAGAAAGACATACTGGTGCCTCTCGCACCATTGAGTTCTGCTCGTTCATATGCATCTGTTGCTACATTGGAGGGTTGCATATTCGTCTGTGGTGGTGGGGTTGGCGATTCATTTGGTAACACAGGTATGTCATGGTATTTTGAATGTGCTCTGTCAACTTCTTTTCTATTAGCTTCAAATTGCAGTTACTTACGCATTTTCTTTGTGTAGTGGAATGCTATAATACAATGTGTAACGAGTGGATGGCGTGCCCCTGTTTGAACAATAAAAAGGGAAGTCTCGCTGCAGTAAGTCTGGATGGAAAAATATATGCTATTGGTGGAGGAGATGGAATTGTAACTTATTCAGATGTTGAGATGTTTGATCCTTTTCTTGGGAAGTGGATATGCAGCCCGTCTATGATGAACTCTGTATGTTATCAGGCTCTTTTACTTGCTTCTAACGATTGTCTTGTTTCGAGTATTTTGCAACCTGCTTTGTAGTAAAACTTATACTCTACCCTAGTCAGCATCATGATTGCATTTTGATCATCTTTATGACCTTATAACGATAAGTTAGGACATGCATTTATTTTAGAACATGTAATTTTAGGACATGCATTTATTTTAGAACATGTAATTTAGTTTCAGCATAACAGCATAGCTTTTCAGAAAAATTATGTACGACACTGCACTGCAACCTCCATTGCAGGCTGTAACATAGTTGTTGCTACATAATGGCAGGATAGCAGGAAAGGGTCATTGGGTTTTTTCTTTTTCTTTTCTAATGTTGGTGGTTATCAAAAGACTGGTCGAGTAAGATGAATTATCTTGACACTAATATATATTGTACATTCTGCTATATGTTACAGCGATTTGCTCTTGGTGCGGCAGAAATGAACAGTGTCATCTATGCTACTGGTGGATTTGATGGTTTCAGCTACTTACAGTAAGATATTTTGTCAATTTTCCTCCATGTTTTTACATGATTTAGTTTCTTAGAAGATAACAAACATGCCACATACAGATCAGCAGAAAGGTATGACCCAAGGGAGGGTTTCTGGGCCCGGCTTCCAAGTATGAATGTAAGGAGAGGATGCCACACTGTAGCTGCCCTTGGAGGAGTCCTGTGAGTAATTTCCTCGTGTACATTACGTGTTATTGAACAAGGAAGAAATGATTGCTGTCTTGCTTAAATCTTGTAAAGAAACTCATGTATTGGCTCTGACTTTTCAGGTATGCCATTGGAGGGTATAATGGGGATAGAATGGTGTCTAGCGTAGAGATCTTTGACCCACGTCGCAACTCCTGGAGGGTGGGTGATCCCATGAACTTTCCAAGAGGATACGCCTCTACAGTTACCCTGGGTGACAATGTGTTTGTCATTGGCGGTCTACAGTCGAGTGAAAAGTTTATGGATTCTGTAAGTAGACCCATACCAACCATCTTTCTCCAAACTTCACAATTCCCAGCTCTCTTTTAAGGATAGTTTCTCTGCCCTTTGTTACAGGTGGAAGTTTACAATGTGAAATGCGGCTGGTCAGTTCCTGGTTTCAGCTCGATTGGGGTGAGGTGCTTCGCGTCTGCTGCTGTCGTTTAAGCGTGTTAGAAGTACAGTGCTTGTCCCATCTCATCAGTTCTAACAATTTTGTGCCATGCAAGGAAACAAACCCTAATCGTGTTTTCCGACATTTTGAGGGTAAAAATTGCCCTTCTGCTGTGATTCCAGTTTCGTGTACAGCGAAAGTCAGCATAGTATGGAGCTCTAGGTAGTCAGTCACTTGTCCAAAGTTTAGATCCTCCTTTATATACCTGAATATTCACCTACTGTTGAGAAACACCCTGTTTTATCAGGTACCATGTAAATCTCTTGGAATGCATTCCGGCTAAAAATTCTGAACTTATTAATCCGTTGCTCGCTCATCTCCGTATTTGCATTATACTTTCGTCCGATATGCCTGGATGTTATGGTCCACTGATGGTTGCCTGTCATGTTTGGCTGTGAAATGCACCATCATGTTCAATTGTTCCATCACTCTGTTCTGATCGCAGCTAGCCTGGTATGATCACATCTGACTCATGCACAATGGATGTTATATGTGATATATCTGCATGTCATGGTCCACTGATGATTAGTCTGTGAAATGAAGCATCATGTTCACATCACACTATTTTGATCACAGCTAGCCTGATAACACATCTGATTCATGCATCATACAGGTTCAAACTAGTTGCTTACATAGTTTTGATCAGAATACCAAAAACCCAGATAGTTGCATTGCATGACTAATGCTGGGCTTGGGTTCTGAGCAGGGTTTCCCAAACCACCGGGGCCGGGGTTACCGCGCCCTGGCGGTAAGCACGGTTACCGCGCGGTAACCGTGAAAAACCGTACGAAACCGTACAAAATTTATCAAAAATTCGAATTATTTTTTAAATTTATTTGAATTTAAGAAGGTTACCGCGGTATTTCTATCACGGTACCCCGCGGTAACCGCGCGGTTACCACCGGTAATGTAAACCCTAGTTCTGAGAGCCATGTGTCCACGACAACAATTGGAATACACACGGGATACAGATCCCATCTTTAGTCCTATCTCCTGTGGCTTATGATTTATCAATCGCTGTTAAAATTTGAATTTTGAAGTCGATCTTGAGTTTTTTTATTCAAAACTGGCATTTAAATCGGTTAGAACAAGTATACAAAAATTTTACCTACTATAATTTGTTGTATTACTAAGCATTACGTTTATATGCATGGATCACTATCACCTTTGAGTGTATCCGATCACGCAATACGGTAGGAAATGAAGGGCATGATTATAAGTTTCATTTATTTGATATGATGATAAATACTTCTTCCATTTAAAAAAAAAACTTAACTTCCAGAGTTTAAATTTTGTCCCATAAAAACCAACTTCTACTATCATACCTATCCTTATCACGTAAAATGAGAAGCTTTATCCTTTAAATACCATTTACCTACATATCACTCTTACTACTTTTTTTTTAATGATTAGGGATATTTTAGTCATTCTTAGCCTCCACTATTTCTATCTTGGTAAGCTAAGAATGTGTTTTTTTTGGACGGAGAGAGTACATGTAGTGCGCGCCGTTTAAATGGGCCGGGGTATGCACGATCACTTAGCATTAACCCTTCATTAGATTCAAAACATCAAAATGTCTGTGTCCTTTTCAAAGTACTTTGCTCGGCCATAAATACTTGCCGTTGTTCACGTAACCTCGGTCAATCTTTGGAGACATTCAGATTAGACATGTATTAAAATTCATATTGCAGATTTATCTTCAACCGTACTTCTATGATAATAATACTATAATAATCTGTTCATTACAAATATATCAAAATTGAAACAAGTGTTGAAAATTCACATCTAAAAATACCATATCAACATCCAAACACAAACTATCTATGCTTGTCTGAATGAAGTGCTTGATAAACATGGAAAGCCTTTACTCCATAAATCTAAACCGTACTCAATAAATAAACAAAACAATTCAATACTAATCAATGTGGATCGCGCATTAACCCTGCAAATGCAACTCTGCAACATGAACTTGGAAAGTGTAGGGAGGCTATTTTGCCCACACAGTCACACAGCACCAGTAATGAAGACCCAAAGTACACGCACAACCTACCCAGCCGGGCCCACGTGTCAGTGAGTGCGTGACGCGTCAGCACGTGACTCGGTGGTGCTGATGGGTGTACATTTATTAAACGCAGCCTAATAATAAAACTAATTACATGTATGAGAGCTAATTTGTGAAACAAAATTTTTAAACCAAATTAATCTATCATTATAACATGTTTACTGTAGCATCATATAAATTAATCACGGATTAGTTAGGATCAATAAATTTATCTCACGAATTATTTAGAGTTATAAATAAATTTTATCACTAGTTTACATTTAATACTTCTAATTAGTACTCCCTCCGTTTCAGAATATAAGAAAATAGTACAGTATGTGAGTCTTTGTCACATGCTTTACTATATTTTTATATTGTGGGACGTAGGTAGTACTACCTCCGTCCCAAAATAAGTGCAGTTTTGCACTATTCACGTTCAACGTTTGACCGTCCGTCTTATTTGAAAAATTTGTGAAAAAATTAAAAACATTTAGTCACACATAAAGTACTATTCATGTTTTATCATCTAATAGCAATAAAAATACTAATCATAAAAAATTTTCAAATAAGACGGACGGTCAAATGTTGAACATGAATAGCGCAAAAATGCACTTATTTTGGGACGGAGGTAGTATCAAACATGCGAGATCCGAACACCAGCACTCCTCCCTCTTCGCGAAGAAACAAAAAAATATTCAGTCAAAAGAAAAAAAATTCCACAAAACCCCATCGCCTTGGGCCCACCTCGCATTGAAGAAATTGGACAGAGGAGAAATCGTTTTTAACCCCGTCCACTCGCCGACTCGCCTCTCCTCCTCGCTCGCCGTCGCCGTCGCGGGAGACTCCGGCGAGCGCGTTGACGTGGCCATGTCGGGGACGGGGTGCTTCCCGGCGGGGGAGATGGCGGCGGTGGCGAGGGTGTGCCGGGACGGGGCGGCGGCGGCGAGGCTCAAGACGGGCTCCCTGCTCGCCATCCTCGTGGCGAGCGCCGTCGGCATCTGCCTCCCCGTGGCGCTCACGGGGGCGTTCCGCGGGAAGGCCGGGTACGCGCGCGGCCTCCTCCTCGTCAAGTGCTACGCCGCCGGGGTCATCCTCTCCACCTCGCTCGTCCACGTCCTCCCCGACGCGCACGCCGCGCTCGCCGACTGCGCCGTCGCCACGCGCCGCCCGTGGCGGGACTTCCCCTTCGCGGGCCTCTTCTCCCTCGTCGGCGCGCTCCTCGCCCTCCTCGTCGACCTCTCCGCCTCCTCCCACCTCGAAGCCCACGGCCACCACCAGCACGCGGAGGAGGGGGAGTCGCCGCCGCCGCCGCCGCCGACCCACCAACCCTACGCCCCAATCCCCACCACCAAGAAGTCCCCCGTCTTCGAGCTCTCCGGCGAGATGAGCCCCAAGAAGCGCGCGCACTCAGACGACACGGACCGGGACGACGTGGCGCTCTTCGGGGCCAAGAGCGCGGTCCGGAGCGACGAGGTCGTCGTCGCCCCCCGTGTCGGCTGCCATGGGCACCACGACGTGGTGGAGGTTGGGGAGGAAGGAGGAGGAGGGGAGGAGGAGGAGGCGAGGAGGAAGCAGAAGATGGTGTCCAAGGTGCTCGAGATTGGGATCGTGTTCCACTCGGTCATCATCGGGGTCACCATGGGGATGTCTCAGGATGTCTGCGCCATCCGGCCGCTCGTCGTCGCGCTCTCCTTCCACCAGGTGTTCGAAGGAATGGGCCTCGGCGGCTGCATTGCGCAGGTAAGCGAAATCCATCTACCTGACTGCCTTCAATTACACCGTTCATGATCGAATTCCATGGATCAATTGTTATGACCATAGTGGTTTTGGCTTGAATCATGATCGAATTCCGTGAATCGATAGCTGTTACCGGAGTGGTTTTCGCTTGAATCATGATCGAATTCCGTGAATCGATAGCTGTTACCGGAGTGGTTCTTTGCTTGAATTGCTTCTTAGAATTAATAATTAAAGAGTGCAGCAAAGCAAACTAGCTAGGACTTGTCAAAGCAGTTTTGTGGCTTTCAGTGTGCGTTTCAGTGTTTTAGTAGTATGAATCGCTCATGCCACTGTCGCCTGTCATATTGACTTGTTTAGTTTAAAATAAACATAGGTGTTATAATATGTGATTAGCTACCAATGCTTGCACATAAGCAGTACACGTGATTGTTACTGTATAATCTGTTTGTCCCAGATTAGGCCTTACTGCTGTTATTATCGTTTAAAATTCAGAGATGAAAGGCGCTATATACCAATATCACCATGCCAGGTGCTGAATGATAGAAAGTGATTTATTAACCCCCCTTTGCACCCCCTGAAGTATTTCTGTAACTTTGGAATGGTTCTTGGTGGAAACCTGCAAGGATCCCTGTTGTACACCACTAGCAACTGGAACCTAGTCACCATATGACTATAACATATACTTTAGCAGTGAAAGTATCCATGTCAGAATCTTTTACACATCTAAATCCATGATCTGTCCAATTTTGTTCATCCACGCCAATCAACATTTGTGTTATTCTTAGTTGCCTTTTTTCCCTCATATCAGTATGCACAAAAGGAAAATAGCACTAGGTTTTTAAAAGTCCTCTTTTGTTTAGTGGTGTCTTGTTGGAGGGCAACTCCAGAAAGCAGTCTGACATGTTAACCAAAAAAGTAAAGATAAGTGGCTAGAGGTATGCCCAAATGCAGTATCTACATATATGGGGGGACAGGGGGTGCATGAAAAATTGGAGAGTGCAATATCAAACTTTCAGTTTTTAAAAGTGACACTGACACAATTTCTATCATTTTTCAAGTTGACAGCACATAACACATCAAATAAAGCCATCACCTTAAATTTATTATACCCCTTTATTAAACAGTCTAAACTTTATCTGTCACTAATCTTCTAAAGTAGTAATTTCTAATTTCCAGTAGCATACCTTATTACCTTACCATTCTCAAATCTCAACTAAGTTACCTGAAATATCTGGTGGTTCTTTCTACAATTTACAATTTGTAATTCACAAAAGCACCAAATAAAGATTATTTTGATCTTAATTGATGAGTTAATCGATACTTTTCTATTTATCTCAGGCAGGTTTTGGGATTGCAACGGTGGGTTACATGTGCGTAATGTTCTCGGTGACAACACCATTGGGAATACTTCTTGGAATGGCAATATTCCATATGACTGGCTATGATGATAGCAGTCCAAATGCCCTAATAATAGAAGGGCTCCTTGGCTCACTTTCTTCTGGAATCCTTGTCTACATGGCACTTGTCGATCTCATTTCTCTTGATTTCTTCCACAATAAAATGATGTCATCATCTAATAAATTGAAAAAGGTCTCTTATGTCGCATTAGTGCTTGGATCTGCATCCATGTCTATATTAGCTCTCTGGGCATAGGTCATAGGTGCAACCAGAGTGAAATACGGTGTATTGATCCTTTGTAGGAAGAAATGGATGTTTTGGGAGTCAGGACTTCCCTCATGTAAATTAAACTTCCACATAATGGGAAACTTAAAAATTCTTGAATGCCTTTTGATACTGTGAGCCATTTTCGTCTCCTGATTACCATGGACAATCAAAACGTACAGTGATTTATCTTTCAGTTTGTGTATACTGAATAATGTAATAGGTTCGACTTTTGTCTATGCTACTTATCCTGTTGTCACATTTGGAATGATCACCCATGTAAAGCACCAGAAGTTTGCAAACCATGCAAAATTTAATTAAGAACGCGTCAGCGCGTGTACTCATTTCTATATCTTTCTTAATGATATGGGCATCTCTACTGTATTTCCTTTGAGATTTCATGCTCTTTGTTTTTAAAAGAGGGTCCACTTTTTTATTGCTGGGAGTTAATTCAAAATATCTCTTGGAGATAAAAATCTATTTACACATTAAAATCAAATTAGGAATTTTAAAAACATAATTTTAGAGATAGATTGTTAGGCATATGTTGGGCATAGCTGTGTTTGAGATAGCTCGAGATGAAGATTAAGTGCGGTCACGTAAAAAGAGGAAGTCATTTGCACATGATTACTTTTTAAATTATTTTAAACTTTTAAATAAGATTTATTTGATATTTTAAAGCTAAAATTTTTGTACGAAATACACCAATTAGTATTTAAAAAATATAATAACAAAAACCAATTTAAAAAATATAATAACAAAAACCAAGATAAAACCTGTATCTTGATCAGATCAGATCAGAAAAAAAAAACGGAAAATGAATACTGATCGCTCCCAAAAAAATGAACTGCGTATATAACACGTATAGTGTTCACTTGTATGTTCGGAAAAAAAAATCTGTCATGCCTGAGTCTCCTGAAAAATTCATTTTATTTTTTATTCTGAGACGCTATTTCACCGAAAACTTTTTCTTAAAAGTTTATTTTCATGGTTAGGTATTTCTAATTGTCTCATGTTTTGTCAATCTAAATCTTAAAAATATGAGTAAATTGCATCGTCGGTACACGAACTTGTTAGGTGGGTGCAATCGAGTGTACAAACTTGTAAAATACTCGTTTTGGTGCATAAACTTGTGTGGTGCGTGTGGGGAAAGTCAAAAAGGACACTACATGACTAATCATATTGATTTAGAGGCTAATTAGGATACTATGTAAACATATATATGAGAAGGTTACCATTAGACATACACCTATTCAATAAAATATAGAATATGATTTAGTGATATTAGAAAAAGATTAAAAAAATCGAGCACTGATATAAGGGTTAGAAATGTATGAAATTCATCATTTCAATGATGAAGGATAAATTAGAGACTAAATTTATAAATATTGCATATCTTATGCATACTCACTACACGTATGCACGTCACATCCTAATCAACGTTAACTTCATAAAATTAATATTGCCAAGTTATTTTGATCCTTGTTCGCACGAACTAGACAAGTTTGTGTACTAAAACGAGCATTTTACAAGTTTATATACTTTTACTCTAAAAATATCAAGCAAATAACAATTATACATTTTATCTGTATAATAATAATAATAATAATAATAATAATAATAATAATAATAATAATAATAATAATAATAATAATAATAATAATTACTTATTAGTATATGTCACGTTAGATCAGTTTTGCTTGCAGAGATCAGTTTGGCCTAGGTTCGCTCGGACTAGGTAAGTTGTTATATTGAAATAAGTAGTTTACAAGTTGGTGTATCTATTTATACCCACTACGCAGGTTTACGCAGGTTTATGTACTGTGAAGGCAATTTGTTCTATCTAAGATTTAGAATCCCCTTCTCTTTTTTTTTCTCTCACAAATGGAGATTCTCTCGCTCCTGATTTCCGCATGACAAAGGCTTATATGCGGGAAGAGATTGCGTGTGAGGCGGGAACGAGCGAAGGGATATCTGTTTTTTATGTACTAGGTGAAACCCCGCGCATTGCTGCGGAAATTTAGTATGATAACAATAAAAAAAATAACGTGTAAGATAGCTAGATAATATAAGATTAAGTAAATTAATATGGTTTATGATAATTTAAATTTAAATAGTATGTAGAATGGTGATTCAAACGTAAAAAATAATGTTGTATGACTTTATGGAAGAAGAAAAGTAGGAGATAGTTTAGACCGTAGATTAATCATTTAAAGGCTAAAAACAATTGATGTGATATGACTTAATTAGAGGAAAAAAAGGAGAGATAATTTGGACCATAGATTAATCATTTAAGCACTAACTAAGTGAGGATGAACTATATAAGTATATAGAATATCATAAAACATAATAAGGATATACATTGAAACATTATGTGAATTATGTTGGATGATAATTTAACATGTTTGTATTTGAAAAGCTCTTAAATTATAAAAACTATAAAGATATAGCATGTTTGCATGATGTTTAAATGTGATGATTGTTAGTGGATGATGATGTGGCATCTTGTTAATTAGTGAATGATGATGTGGCATCTTGTTAGTGGATGATGATGTGACATCTTTGTAGGTTAAGCTTAAGGAGTTAGTGGGGAATAACTTTATACTAAGATAGGATTTGTAGTTAGGGGTAAAACGTGGGCTAAAAAAAAATCCAGAAGACCGAAAACCTCACCGAACCGAACCTAAGAGGCGGTTTTTTGGGCCATCGGTTGATTGTCCGGTTTTTATTTTCCTGTAGTTCGGTGTTCGGCTTTTACTTCGGTTTCCATCTCACGTGAACCGACGAGACAGAAGAAACCGATGAGTGTTCAGCCAATCCAAAAAGAATAACTTCACTTTATGACCCTCAAAACTGATTGAAATCTAATCCATGACTCTAAAGTACAAAACCGGATATCTCGACTAGGGATGAAAACGGAGCGGATACGGATGGATAATGTTCATACCATATTCGTTTTCATATTTTTTACCGGATACGAAAACGAATACGGATAGCTCGAATACGAAAACAAATACGGATTATCTCGAATACGAATAAGAATCGAATATGATCGGACACGAATACGGAAACAAATTTTTCTCGGAACACGAAAACCAACTCAACTTCTAATAGAAATAAATATCAACATATATAATTAGCTCATTTTATATAAAATGAGGTATAATTTATAAATATTTTTTAAAATTTAAATAATATTAATAATATGGACTAGTGTTAAGAGATAAACTACTATTAAAATCTATAAAGGTATATTGAAGGTTATAGAGTTAGAAAGAAATGGGGTATGTCTTATGGGTCCTACGGATATCCGAATAGCACCGTTCACCGGATATCCGAATTATTATCCGTATCCGAAGGAAACCCTGATACCATATTCGTATTCGTATCCGGGAGAAAATATCCGTATTCGTATCCGTATCCGAAATATCCGAGAATTATCCGATCCGAAAGGTATCCGTATCCGTTTTTGTCCGGAGCGGACGGAAACTATCCGCTCCGTTTTCATCCCTAATCTCGACCCCCAAACTCCTGAAACCAGTGCAATTTGACTCCCTGGATGGTTTTGGGAGGCGGTTTTGCTGACGTGGCGCCACGTGGTGCCTACATGGCAATATTGACCGAGTCTTCGACCCACGTGGCATTGACGTGGCACTTACGTGGCATTAGAATTAAAAAATATGTGTGGGACCCTTTTGTCATTCACACATAAAAAAAATTGTGGGGCCCACATGTCATCCTCCTCCCTCTCTCCCTTTTCTCTCTCCCCTTCTTCCCCTTCGGCCGGCGGCGGCAGTGGGAGCTAGCTGGAGCGGCGGCGGGCGGCGGTGGAAGGCCGGAGCAGCGGCGGCGGCGGGCGCTCAAAGGCCGGAGCGGCGGCGGCGACGGTGGCGGGTGGGCTGCTCGGCCCTGCTCCATCTCGGAGGGTTGGAACTTGTGGCCGCCGCCACCGTCCTGCTCGTCTCGCAGCGGCCCCAAGTAGCCGCCTCCCTCTTCCACGCCGGCACGGCTGCGCCGCCGGCTTCGACTGCGTGGACCACCGCCTTCGACCTCCGCCTCCGTCTTCAGCCATCGACGACGCCAAGGGCAACCCCCGCCGGTCGACTTCCTCCACGACGCCGACCCATCTCGCCGAGCGCTAGCCTTACCATCGTTGACTCCTCCACTCCGGGAACCGCTGCCACCGTCGGAGGGGGGCGACCTCCTCTTCGTCGCGCCGAGGTCCGTCGCCGTCGACCCGGGGACGAGCTCCCTGCACCACCTCTGTCCACCACGCCGGCGACGCTCCAAAACCCGCTCCAGCTAGCTCCCGCTGCCGCCACCGCTTCAGCCCCCGCCGGCCGCCACCACACCGTGGCCCATGCCCCGCCGCCGGCCGAGGGTGAACAAGGGGAGAGAGAGAAGGGAGAGAGGGAGGAAGAAGGAAGGAGGATGACATGTGGGGCCCACATGTCAGTGGCCCCACAATTTTTTTTATGTGTGTGAATGACAAACGGGTCCCACAATTGTAATGCCATGTAAGTGCCATGTCAACACCACGTGGATCGAAGACTCGGTCAATATTGCCACGTAGACGCCACGTCAGCAAAACCGTCTCCCAAAACCGTCCATGGAGTCAAATTGCATCGGTTTTAGGAGTTTGGGGGGTCAAGATATCTGGTTTTATAGTTTAGGGCCATGGATTAAATTTCGATCACTTTTGAGGGTCATGAAGTGAACTTATTCCCAGAATGCTCAAGGCCCGTGCATCAAGCCCAACTTTCACCGTGGCCCAAAAAATACATGACAGCTAAGAGCAAGTTTAAGTTTAATAGTATAGCCAACTACTAGCTCTAATTCATCTATAGTCAATTTAATAGCTAATTCATATAATAGTTACCTATAAACATATACTGCACCATTAATATATGGTCCTACCTCTCATACACAAAGTCCGTGTTATAGCTAGATACAAATATGCACTCGATCTCTTCTCTTTTCTCTTTTACATGTGCTTATAGCTTACTTGTAGCATGCTATTATACTCGCTCTAACAGATCCACCAAATCAGGCCATGCATACTTGTGGAAAATTGACCCCGTTCTTTTCTCCTGGAGATAAAGATTTTACCTCGGTTTCCGTTAGCACGTTTTTAAACTATAAAATGACATGATTTGTGCGAAAACTTTCTATATGAAAGTTGCTTTAAAATATCAAATATATTTATTTTTAAGTTTGTAAAAATTAAAATTCAATTAACCATGCGTTAATGGCTTTCTCGTTTTGCGCGCCCTCTTTTAATCTTCATCTTAGGAGGATTCGAACGGGGCTAGATCTTTCTC